CTAATTGACTATTTTGGATTAATTCATCAACTTTCGAATTACCACTCGTCCAATTCTTAAAATTTTGTGTAAAGCATGGGAATTATGGATTACATGGCGAATGATATAGGAATGGAACAGAATATTGTCTTAACTGAGAGCCGAAATGCCGAAGAGCCAGGATCTAAGAGGAAAGAAGAGTTAGAATAATAGAACGAACGAAAAAAAGACAAAAAGAGAAAAAAAAGTACCTTAGAACTTTGGAACCTTGTAACTGAAATATCAAGGTGCCAAAGTTGCCAAAGAGCCAGGACCTATTGCGCAGAACATAAAAAACAAAATAAAAGCTCTTGGTAAATTATATAATTTTGCTTTTCTTAATTTTTTTGAGGTATTAAATGAGTTTATATTAATTGGAAATTTTTTACATTATAGCTCACCGTTATCCTTATGTACTTGCATTTGAACATCTGTTATTGAAGTGCGTCATGTCTGAGAGGAAAGAATAGTCAGAACGAACGAAAAAAAGAGACAAAAGAAAAAAAAATGAAAAAAAGACGCACCTTAGAACTGAAGAGCTGAAAACCGAAGAGCTGAAAACTGAAGAGCTGAAAACTGAAGAGCCGAAATGCCAAAGAGCTGGGACCTAAGAGAAAAAGAAGTTAGAACGAAGTTAAAGAACAAAAAAAGAGAACAAAGGAGCGCAAAAATAAGAACCCACCTGTATGTGAAACCGAAATGGCAAGCGCAGATATTATATATATATAATTAAAATTCTACTTTGTATATATGTTTTTAAATATTAACTGTAACAGGTGAATTCAAGTTCAATGTAAAAAGACTGCTACTGATCTTTACATTGCATTTTGTTGCAGAATACTGGAAAGAAAATACCCCAAGTCTCAAGACTTTTTGAGGTACGTCCAGATGAGCAACTTTTAAGAAAGATACTGAGCATTTGAATTACAAATTTTATACATACAAAAATATACAAAAGCATTTGATGATTATAAGGTGATGTAATTTATTTATTTATTTTGTTTTTTGATGAAGGCAGAGCCAAGGATACATCTTCAACTACTGTTGCGGTTCTGAACTTGCAATGGGAACGATTCCAAACTCCGTTGATGAGCATACGATCCTGATCAGGTAGTATGGACGCTTGCATTCTCCTCTGAGGGAGTCTTCACAGCTTAATGTCTGCACTTCAGCTCCGTCCTGGGTCCTAGATGCCCCAGAGAACCAGAGCTATTGTTGTGTTTAATCATCACCTTCATCTTTTCCTAAGATTCTTACAAATCGTATTTGTAATATTGTTATTGTTATTAAAATTCATATAATTTGTATTCTTTGAGAAAACACCAGGATGAGACAAAATCAGATTCTGTCAAAATATTCTGGGAAGAGCAGACTGAACTACAACGGATCTGGATTCTAGAGATTGTTCTCTGTCCAAGTTGCATTCGAAACACATAATAAGTTATTTACAGTAACTGCCTTTTTTAGTTGCAAGGTGCCGGTGACATGCTGAAGCTTGAAAATGATCATCTCATGAAAAGTGCTGTTGATTCTTAAGAACTGCAGCCGGGTATCCTCAGTAATAGAGTTAAGGCTATGTCAAAAAAGGAAGAAGAAAGCGAACTTGTAGGTCTTTAGTTATCTTCAATTATACAATTAAAAGATCCCTCTTTTTAATCATGAATATATTATATTGTTCTAATGATTTAGGAGGGAGTTTAGTTTGACCAGATTTACACCAATATTTAGCAACTAATGGATTGTGACACCTTATGCAATTGCCATTCAATACTCGATTTGGGATAGGGATTGGAATCGATAATCGAATCAAATCGAATCTCATTTGTTGAAGAGAAAATTGAAATTAAGCAAAAAAATTAATTTAGCATTGCATCCAAAATTAAAGTGCATTATTTAAAATATTTTCAAAAAAGAAAAATTGATCGATAATAGCCTTCAAAAACTTAAAAATGACGAAATGATCGGCAATGATCGGCAATGATGTTATAGTAATTTACATGGGTATTAGCTGTTAGTAAAACGACCTATAATTTCTTAATAGATTTTACAATTTTAATTCAGAATTTATATATTTACTGATTATGGAATTAATTATCAAAGCTTAAAATGGATTATCTTTTAAGGAACAAAAAATCGAATCTACAAAGATTCGATAATCGATTCCCATCCCTAATCTGGGATAGTACAAGTTTGAAGTGTTAATTCTTGTTGTTCTTAGTCATCTCTTCATATTTTGTTACAATTTTCTTGTCTTGTTAAGTTCTAGGAACATTGTTTCTCATTGTTTTGAATCGATGGCGTTAGTTTCTTGTTATTTTCGACAATTTTCTTATTATGCTATGAGCCGGATTTGAACTTTCATTTTGATATTAATATTTGAAATCGTCATCCGAATTTTCATAACTTTTAAAAAGAAGTTCATTATCTTTTTCGAGAAAGGCTGTGTATCAGTTTCTTAACTTAACATATCGAGTTTCCGAAGTGCTTGATTAATCGTAGTGATATGTTCTCCAATTATAGATTCATTTTCCTAATTGTTCACTAACAAGATTTTCCCGTTATTTAATCCATTATTTGTAATATTAACCTATCAAATTCAACTGAATCTGTTCCAAATTCTTTAAAATCTGAGCTAACAAAATAATTTGAAGAGGTTTACATATTTTATAATTTTATTCTTGAATTAATAAGTCCCAGAAGCGTTACTTTTAATTACTTCTTAATATTAGATTGTTTCTCATCGCTTTGAGTCGAAAGCTTTAATTTGCCCTATAAAAAATTTTTATCCGAATATTTCCATTATTTCTCCGTGTCTTCCGTAAAAATTCTGTGAAAATGATACATTCACGGAAAAAACATGGAAAGATAAAACACGGATCAGATTTTTTACAGGGTTACTGTTCTTTTATCATCTCTTCATATTTAGTGACAATTTTCATATTGTATTTCGAGCCAGATTTACAGTATATCTTATTTTGACACTAAGATACGAAATCGTAAATTTTGATCCGGAGATTATTTTTTTTTCGTTTTAATAGCATAGCATATCGGCTTTTAAACTAACATTCAATTGTTCTAGTTCAAGATTTTTTCTCGCTCAACTTAACTTCCGAAATGCCTGATACATTGATTTATGGATACTGGATAATGGAATAACTTGTTCTTCGATTATAGAATCGTTGTTTTTATTAAAATGTTAGTCGCTACCATTCTCGGCGAAATGTCAATTTGACGAAATGGAATTCGGTGCCCGTGAAATGGATTCGATAAAATGAACTTTCGGCGTGAAATATCCCTTCGGTGAAATAGTTTCGGCGAAATGGGTTTCGGTGAGATGGATTTCGGCAAAATGTACCGTAACCATTTTATAAATTACCCAATTTATTTTACTAATCAATAATAAATTGGGTAATTTATAAAATATAACCCAATTTATTAATAGTCGGTTAAATTAACCTTAATCGGTTACAGCAAAATTCGAAATATAGTGGTCACTTGAAAATTTTGATTGTCGGGATTGTCGGGTATTCGGGTACTCGGGTACTCGGCTAGTCGGGTTATTAAAAAAGATATATAACACGTGACATATAATATGTGGTTAATACACCTTTTTTTTGCTACGATAATCCAGCCATTTATACATTTTTACAAATATTTACATCGTTTTGGGTTGGTAAAAGTTCAATTTCCTTCGAAATATTAGCAAAAACCCAGTCAACAAATTCCGAGTCCACAATTTTTGGTTTGTGGCATCTTTTTGTGTGAGGCCGTGCAGGGATTTGTGAACAAATTCTACTGCATAATTACGTTCGGCTTTTTTCCTCTTCCATATTACTTCTCTTGCTTGACAAGTGCATTTTTGACCATATGTGTTTTGACAATCTAAAAAAATAAGACAAATTGGACAGGCATTCAAAGTTCAAACGAAATTCCAAAGAAAATGCCATTGTTCAATAAAAATCAATAAAGTAATTTAAGAAATATTGATATTGTTAAAAAAAAGTTTATTTGTTAATTTATGTTATATTGATATGTTTACATATTATATAGTATATACAATTATACTCTATTATACTTTATAGTTTATACTACGCGATTTATTATATTCATATAAATATATATGTGAGACGTGTTATGTATCTTTTCTAATAACTCGACTAGCCGAGTACCGACAATCAAAATTTTCATATATTTCGAATCTTGCTGTAATTACTGTAATCGGTTCCACTTCTAAATTCTTTGAATGGGATGATTAGAAATGGCTATCCAAACACCAGTAACCAGTTTTACTTAAAGAGTAGTTAGTTTAGTCATATTAATTAAATGCTTTTAATCCATTATAACAATATATCGAATATGTAATAGATATTCGTATGAAATTAACGGATAAACGGATGAAGAATATCCGCAGACTCTGATCCCAAATAATAATTCTGATTGATGATTGGTTACGCTACATTCGCTATAATTAAACCAGTTAGTTACTATGTTGATTTTCGCAGTAATAATGTTAGTTTTTGCATTACAAATATGAATCGCATTTTTAAACGATTTTTGTTTGTGAATTAAGAAATTCAATGCTTAAAGATATTCCTTAAATACATATAAAAATAATTTACAAAGATTTAAATGCACACTTTGTGTAATAAAATTAGATTTTTTTCGATTACTTACATATATAGTATAACTTTAATCATTTATTTTTTTAGATAAAAAGATTCTGGTATAAAAAATTTCCATGATTATAATAATTATTATATGCAGGGTTTCAATATAAAATATGTATTCTTGGGTATTGATTTGCAACATAAAAATCAACATTGTTACTGCAATAATTCGAAACCGGTAATGAATGGTTACGCGAATATATACTGTAGTTTACTTAAATATTCAAAATACTATCATGCATACATCATTTCTTGATTTTAAAAAATATAAATAAACAGCAAATTCTAGCAGCTACCTAAAAATTTAACTTAGATATGAACAAAACACGTCAAAAATCTGACGACTCGGAAAGTTCTTTTATTTCCATACCTTACAAATTACAAGAGGAAAATATCATCTTATCTCAATCACAATCACATTCTGAACATATATCAGCTATTTCAAATCGAAAAGCTAATTACGTGGATTCGATGTCACATTTAACAAACCAACAATACAATGACTTAAACTTTAAAGCGCCTGGCCATCATTTGTTCTCTATTCTTACAAATTCATATCCTCAACAGGCTTCAAGCGCAAATGCTAATGATATGGCTTCTTTGCATTATCCATGCCAATATGACCCAATCACGTTAATGCAACCACAACAACAAATTTCTCAAACTATATACTCTCAAGATAAAGCACAACGTGCTGTTCACTGTAATAAATTTTTTTATCGACCATATAACGATTTTTTAAATTATCACATAAAATGTGAAAAAGTTTCTCTACAATTATTAAATAATTCAATGCAATCTAAAGCGAATGAATATATTTTTTATTACCAACAACAAAATAATAATCAAATTTATCAAATATCATGTGAAATTGCTTCTTCCAATTATCTCAACAAGAAATTTTACGGTATCGAAATTGAACCAAATATGGAACAGAAACAATTAGTTTTCACATCCGATCAACAAGAGAATCTTAAATTCTATTTATCACAATATTTAGGCAACTATTTATTTAACTAAGGAATATTCAATTTTTATGTTTCAAACTTTTACAAAATAAGTTATAATTTCAAACCATAAATTAAGTTTTCATTGTAATGTATACATCTTGTTTACCTACTATAAAAAAAATTCTAGAAAAAAACTCCGATCATTTTTCTAGTTTTCATTCCGAACAAACTCAGGCACGTGATTATTTTTCTGAAAAAATTTTTATAGGGCTATGTTAAGATTAAAATTTTAAATATGTATTTATCAAGTTGTTTTCAATAATACAGTTATATGAAAAATCACTTAATGAGAGTTGGGTGTTAAAAGACAATAAGGGAAAAGGAAAAGGAAAATATTATAAAGAGGGAATAGCGATTATAAGACTATAAGTTGTTTTTCATGGATGACAAAATTACGGGCGCATTTTTGTCAAAATAAAAATCAAGTTTAATAATTATTAAAATCTTTAATATTTATTTATAATAAATATTATTTTTTAAAATTATCATTTATTTAGCCATATAGTTCCGAATATTTTCTTTTTATTTTATAGTGTTACTGCTCGACAATTTCCCCAGTTTATGTAATTATTTTCTTTCATTATATTCATTATTTCTTTATATTCTTGCATTGTTGTTAGCGTATATAATTGTATTATTTCATTATATTCTGGTGTTGTCTCTCTTTCTTCATTTATAATTCTTCTCTTTTATGTTATATTTTTAATTCAGATTAGTTTTATTCTTAAAGTTCTACTTTGATATTTCTTATATGCATTTTCTAGTATCTTATCCATTTATTTTTATGCAATACTATTATGTGATTAGTAATATATAAATGTAATATTCTAATTATTAAAGAACGAAGAAATACCAAATTAGAAATTAGGTTGGATTGAAAGCGTAGAAAATTTTCGTCAGTATAGTGTGTTGATATGTTTATATACAGTTTGAACATTGTAGATTTTTATCTAAATATTATCATTGGCTGTTCAGTTCTAGACTAATATTGGATGCCGCATCCAGTGTTATTATAAATTCAAAAAATTCTTATACGCGCAAAGCGCATATCATTAATAAAATTCATATGCGCAACCTACTAATTTCATATGCGCTTTATATATTAGATTAAAATAATGATAGGCGATACTAAGAAAAATGCCACCTAATATTTTCAACGAAATACGCGGGAAATAAAAGTAATGTACGCTGCGCCTACTGCGTGAATCCAATTTAAATCACTGCCCGCATCCTGCATAAAAATACAGATTCTTCTTAATAACCGATAATATTTATTATTATTATTGATGTAAAAAAGAATATTTATAATTGATTGTATTTTAATCTAATAACATCAAAGGTAAAAAAAATGAAATTCAATGATCACACAGCAAAGTGATAAACTAATCACGTGATTACTGGCCGACATCTAACATCAGCCATTCGACCGGCATTAAGAAATTAACCATGTGACAAATCTTATGTGACAAATAGTGATTTTGCAAAGAAAATTCGCCCATAATACTTGAAGAAGTGGAGGGTGTGACCCGGGTGACAAATTATATAGATCACGTGGGTTTGAGAATGACCCTTTGTTTTTAGATTACAATAATTACAATATTAAATATTAAAATAAATTCCACTTTGTTCTTTAATTGTTAATTATTATTAATTCAGCAATGCATTGTAAAATGAAATAATAATGGTAAAAATTAATGATAAAATTTTATAATATTTAGTCATACTGTCATATAAACGAATGTTGTACTTATTACGATATTTTTTTTTTTTATTTATCACCAGTTCGACATATAAAGACGATAAATAGGGATTTCCTCTCATCAATAGCTCCTTATCCTAAACTAAAAATCTAACCTCATTAATATTAGCTAATGGTTAGATAAACCTATCCAATTGAACAGAACTTTCTTTTTATGAGGCTTTGAATGATATTTTTACCCGCCCAATAATAATATGTAACATAATTTCTTTCGCGACGCGTTATTAATTATCATAGTTTTATTAATTTGTGCAACAAATGAACCATCAAAATTTGGAAAAACTAAATGAAAAAAAATAGTGTATCTCAAAGTAGGGATTCTTTGTACTGTATGCACGTACTTTGATGTACACATGATTGGCTAATAGAAAATTCTCCTATTTGTATGCATATTATTAGAAATTTTGATCGGCGCATTACATCATATCTATTTTTATTGTCCACACTCTAAAAATAACAACAAAAATTAAACTGGTGTTCAGGAGATCAGGAGATTAATTTAATTCGGCTAAAAAACGAATAAAAATTAACCTCGTTATTTTAATTTTTTAGCATATATATTTTATTTTTCTGTAACTGGTAAATCCTTTAGTCACGTGATTAAGGAGCCAAGCCTAACGCCAAGCTAAATTATAAATTTTTCAAAGTGATACAAGTGCTTTACTTGATATGGTTTAACTTAAATATTACATCATACATTATTGATTCGCGGTTATTATGTCAATGAAATTTCTATAATAAAAAGTTCTCATATATTTAAAGAAATTATCTTGTGATTATAATATGCTTATTAATTAAAAGGTACGCGTAATATAAACCGTAGTAGTTGTTTAAAAGTTATGAGCTAATTATTTATTATTCGGAAGATTATTACCGCCCCATAATAATGTGCATGCATTTACTGAAGAACAATTATGTACATATCGGCTATCCCGGGCTAACCACATTTCTTTTTTAAGTTTTCCACGGAATTTCCGTCAAATAAATAAATAAAAAAAAAAAAATTTCAATATAATAATAATAATTCTAATAAGAAATATAAAATAAAAATGGTACATTCTGAATGGATCGACCACTCAATAAATTATATAAAAATTTGTTACTGTTCTACAATATGATTAGTTTATATATTATAATTCTTTTTTTGCAGTACATAATACATTGTTCAAACGCAAGTAATATAAAACTTTACTTATCATTGCTCAATAAATTCCTGTATTTAGATGTAAAATAAGCAAAATAAGTGTTTCAAACACAAAGGAGATATTATTTAAGAAGTCATTTAAACAATCATTTCCAATAAAGAATTCCTGATAACTAACTGATAAGATGATAAGATTCAATAAATATTATAAATGAAGTTAGACCCTTTTTTCATTTTTGATCTAATATTTTTTAGGAATGAACAAATAACGGCGCGTTATTTTGACCAGTATTTATAATATATTAATTTAGCACGCCACTTTTAATATATTCGGGTAAAAAAAAAACCAGATTTTCTTTGATCTAAATAGATAATATATTTATATGATTATATATTTATTTACATTCTTTTTATAACATGAGAAAATCAAAAAGAATTCTATTATCTCATTAAAAGGTTATTTAATCAACGTTTCAAATATATTAAAAAAGTTCGTTATTGCCCTTATAAAAGCGATAAAATAAGAACGTATTTTGATTTATTTATTTGATCCAATTATTAAAATTATAATATTATCCTACGTAATCAAATCAATAAAGTGCATCTATGAAGTATAGATAATGTTCGGCTATCAGTCACATTTAGAAATTTACGCCCAAAACTTCATATGTAATTACTGTTGGGAAAAAATATAATATGATCCTCAATTATTTGGAAAGAAAGAAAAATTTTTATGATATCATGATACATTTAAGTTTCTTTGTATTTTGGTTATTTTAAAGCTTTTATAGCTCTTATAGTACAATAATAAAGAAATTATCTTATATTGTTAATCACGAGAAAATTTTATTCCCACGAATAATACTAATAAGTCTTTAAATAGCCCTATATAGAACGCCCGCCTGTATTGTCACGTGATTTTAAAAATCCGCAGAAAAATGCACTTATGCAGGAATTAGTCAAAATATGGTTAGCGCTTAAATAATTATATTAAAAAATTTGAACCTATTTAACCTAAACCTATTTGAAAATATATATATATATGTATAAAATGATCGAACCAATAATAAATCGAATATTGAGCATAACCCGAAAAATTTCAATTAATTGGTACAACAATTTTATTATTATTTTTCTATTTTTTCTAAATATTTGTTAACAATTACTCTACCTTTTTATATTTACGTATTATAATGATGTATTTTATTATATCATGATTTTCGCGCGTTATCAAACGCGAAAACATTATTATAAAATATCAAAAATATCTTAATCAAAATATTTTTTTACATTTTAATAAACATTATGTAAATAAATGATTAATTTTTCTCCTTAAATAGTTTTACATTTATTTTGTTTTATTTTATGTTATCTTTTTTTTTTTTTTTGTGATCAAATAGATCACCGCCCACTTTACATTAATTAATTATTAATTCGGCCGAATCATTTGATTTTTATTTCATTAAATTCATTGTTTAGTTACTTAATCAAGTTATCTCAATATTTTCTTTAAACAAAGAACAAAATTATCGATCATATTTGAAATTATGAATGTAATATAAAGATTAGTGAAATTAATTAAAAACCATCCGGTATTCGTTCGGGAAATTCCGTTGTTTGTTTACGCTCCGGTTGAGAATTTTTATTTTGTTTCAGAAAGATTATTAAATGCATTAATGAAATTTCATCTTTTTTGCTTTTCACATTAAATTATTTTTTCCGATGTTTGTTTTTTTTTATATATTTTTTTTTATGGCAAATCAATTCGGTTAAACAAGTCCAAGCAGAAAAATTGATCAGCCGATGCACAAAAAAAATTACCGAAGTAAATATTTATAGTTACTCCGAATTTAATAAATAAAAAATCGATTCCTACCCATATGGAATTACGATTGGCCATAAATCATTTCACCGGGATCGGATTAAAATTGACTAAGGTTATGTTTAATTGGTGTCCCCATAAGAACATTTACCTTTCAATCTTCCCAATAAGGGTTTCATCTAAGTTCTACCGCATACACAAATGCAAATATGGAACATCTTAACCCTTGTAAGTATATGACGTAATGATGCAACTATCCACTTAGAAGGAGGGATTGCTTAAATTACGTTATTAATTTTAATTGGGGGATGCGATATAACGATCATCTTCCTAATATATTAATTTATGTAACAAATGGGCAACCAACAATGAACTAATGAACTAACCAAACTATATTTTAAAAATAATGTATATATGCCAAGAGTTAAGCCTTTTTTACAAATAAATTTGAGGGAATTTACAATAATTTTCACGAAAAAAGAAAATAACAATGAAAAAGTATATATATATACATTATATATATATACATTATATATATATATTATATATAGATATATTTACTGTATATATATATATATATTTATTTATTTCTACGCACATCCATGGTGAATTCGTAAGATAATGCCATCATCATTACTTCATACGTTGACTAATGAAACAAGTTTTATTGAAAGAAAATAATTTCTTCAGCCTCTTTGTATCAAAATATTTTCAATAAAGGGCCATATGTGTTTTTTTCAAACCATTTGCATATGCATATAATTGTGTTTACCTTACACCACATGAATTTGTATGAATGGACAGTGTATTTAGACCATTTAAACTTGGAATCTAGCGAAAAGACAAGAAACACAATGACTCATTTTTTTCATTCGAGGTTCCCGCCCATCTTTGATGACAATGTGTGGCATTAAACAATGATGTATTTGTAAAAAAAAAAAAAAAAAAAAAAANTCTTTAGATAAATAATAAATTTTTTTTTTTGAAATCCTTTAAAATAAATGGTAAAGTTGGATTAATTAATTAAAAAATTGAAAATCAAAAAAAAAAAAAAAAAAAAAAAAAAATTATCGTACTTTTTGCATTATTTATATTCACATGAAATGAATACAATGATTGTTTGTTTGGTTTACGTAACATATGAAAATTGCATCTATTTGACAATGATTTTCGCGTTCTAGAAAATGTTTTTAGTTTTTCTAGTAAATTCTACGTCATAATTTTCAAAAGGAAAAATGTTTCATTTAACACAAAGAAAATCTTTTTTTGCAAATTTGGGTATAATCGGGTATAATTGATTCCTTTGCAATTAAATTAACTGAACAATTAATGTACAAAATAAAAAATAAAAATAAAAAATTCTGATTGTTTACTTCTTTTACTAAAAGAGAAAAGATGAATAAAACTCCGAACAATTTCAAACATAATATAAAAAAAAATATTTTTAAATAGATATCCACATATTTTTTTTTTTTTTTTGATATATTAAATGAACGAATCATTTGATTATTATAATAACAAAGAATTCTTTGTATAACTTTTATATATAACATTTAGTTACGCAGCATAAGATAACAAAAAAATTAATACGTAACTGCAGAATTTCCTTGTCAATTCAATAGAACGAATCATATTAAGGAGGAAAAAAAAATGTTACAGTGACACATTTCTGGAAGTTCTTTTACATATCAATAAAGGAATCATCTTCTTTTACTTTTTTTGTTCGGGTACTTGGAAAAAAATTTTTTTTTAACAATATAATATGATTCACCAATTTGGTCAATGAAGTTTTTCAATTGGGAATGTTAAGCAAAGCAAATCCGATGTGAAACCCAATAAATTTTATGCTGGATGGTTACACAAACCCTTTATTTGTTGTAACAATGATTTTTACATACGTAATCTGGGACTGGGTTTGACAATTTTACAAAAATTACAAAAAATCGAATTTCTATGTGTTTTATAAATTTGGAAATTATAATTCGTATCACTTTTTTTCATGAGAGGGAATAATAATATTTTATTTTCTAGCATGTGTAATGAAATAATTGGTCTAAAAATGAATCTTACTATACATAGAAGAAAATGGCGGAAAACTTTTGAGAAAAAAAAAAAAATTATGTTTCCTAATTCCTAATTAGTAAAAATTCACGTAATTGTTTATAAGGGTAGCATTTCTTTTCAGAACCTTATTTCAGTCTCAAACTTTACATTAATTATCAATAACGTTTACTGGCCTTTCATTGTTTTATTGTTTTACGACAAAAAAGAAAATGAGCGTGTGTTACAAAATTTTCAGCCGCATATGTTGCATCAAAAAAAAAAAGTTTAAACAGAAAAAAAAAGGGAATTAAAATGAACAAGGTTACAATTAAAAATACTGGCCACTTCCAAGGGAAGTTGTTCAATGATTTTTAGGTGAACTTATTCCGATTGATCTATATTTGGGTAAACGCTGATTATAAATAGGAAATTCGCGAGAAAATCAGGAGATTTTTTGTATTAACATTATTTATAGAAAGGAATCAACTATCTAATTATTATCTTTCTTATGAAATAATAATAAAATCACGCCCACTAAAAATAAACATGAATTCATTTTATTCATTTTGTGAATCGTTTCTTCTATTACCTGGTATTATTGCATATGCATACACGTTGAAATAATGCGTGTATGATGGATGCATTCATATATCATATATATAATAATAAAAATATTACATAGTATGTAATATTTTTTTAATGCTTTATGACAGCATTTAAATATTTCATTGGTTATTTTATTGCTTTAAAAGCGGTTGTAAAAATTACTCCCTTCTTTAATGACGTTAATAAAATACCTTACCTTTAAAGGATGAGAAAAAGAAAAAAATGTTACTCCAATATCAAACTTTTATTCTAATAGTTATTGTACAAATTAAGTAATAATTGACATTTTTTATGATCGCTGCTTTTAAAGCTTCTTATCACTGGATACACAATAAAATTAAATAATATTTCTATTACAAAAATATGAAACAATTATTTAATAATAAATATTAGTGGTATGATGTTTATGGTATCTATAATCTATAATAAAAATAATATAAAATAAAATAAAATAAAAATATGTAACACATTATTGTTTACATATAATTAATAATCCAGAATATATTTTTCCCGCCCATTGATATACCGAATAAATTGTGTACAGTATATAATAAGTATAGTAGTACATCATATTACATGAAAAAATATTTCTCAATTATTAATGTATATAAAATTTTTTTAAAGTAATAAATAAAAAAAAAAATTTTTTTTTTTTTTTTTTTTTTATTAAAATGTATGGGGATGGTATGATATTTTCATATATATTATAAAGAAGAAGATTGAATATTAATTATATTTATAGTAATAAATAAAAAAAAAAATTTTTTTTTTTTTGTTTTTTTTATTCAGATTTTGCCAATCTTAGTTCTATACTACATATGAATATCTTAGAATGAAAAATGATATGAATGAAAAAATGCGAGTGAGTGAAACGAAAACTCTAATAATAATTCGATATTTACAGGAATCGTTTTAAGTTTAATATTTTTTGTTTATACAAAAAATTCGTAAAATAATAATAGTAAGTATTTCGATAAAAAAAAAAAATTTATAATATGATAATTTCGTATTAAATCGTATTTAAATTAATATTGGTTAAATGGCGGATAACTCCACTCCGTTATTTCAGTGGCTTCGCAAGTTGTAAACGGGCTTACAGGTGGGGTTAAATTTATCGGAGTTATTGGAGTTATTGGAGTTATTGGGTTTATCATCGAAGTTTGTAATTGTAATTGATTTTGAATGTCAAATCTTTCGAGCAGTACAACGTTAATTTGACTTGACAAATTTAAAAGATCTTCCGTTCCCATAGCAGAGAAATTTGGAGCGATTATCGGTTGAGGTTGTTGTTGTGTAATATTGTTGTTGTTGATACAATTGTTTTTCGTTGTGTTTGTTAATTTTTCTACCAAGTTTTCTAATTTGCCGATTCGGTCGTTAAGAACATCGATATATTCGTCATTTTGTTCACATCGTCTACAATAAGTATTGTTTTGTTTTATTGCTTTTGGGGTTGTAGTTTTCTTTTTTGGAGTAGGAGGATTTGTTCTACGAACAGTCATTATGTGTGTCCTTCCTGTAACATCTATATGTCCTTCGCTAACAGCAAGTGCTTTTCGTCCTCGTTTTGATTTTACAACGACGGGCTTTTCATCAAAAGAATTTGGTGGACTCATTTTTATTAAATTTCGTTTATTTTATTTTTTTTATAAAAAAAAATGAAATATTTTGAAGGAAGATGTTGAGTGACTAGGAAGCAAACTTTCAGACTTTATATACAAGAAAGGGTTACACAAAAATTTATTTATATTATTTATTTAAAATAAACAATTAATGCCCAATTTTATGTAAACTGAAAATTATTGTAAAAGAAAAAAAAAAAAATTGTGTATTGTTGTTTTTTTTAGCAATATAATTGTAAATGAGAAAAGAATTTTCATTGTTTGAATTATTGAATAGCTTTTTTAGTAATTAATTATTTATTACAGTTTAACTTGTAGTCTACTTTATATTTTTAGATCATTTTTAGAGGATACAAGCATTTTTCTTCTTTTCTTGAACCTTGCAATAATTTGTTTCCTTTTATTGTCTCAATAGTAAAAAAAATCATTTATTATTATTATTATTGTTATTATTATTTGAATTCATCCTATAAAGGAGTTTTCTTTAAAATTGATTTACTATTGTATATGCTGTATATTACGCATATAATTATAGTGTACATTATTTATGTTCTTTATAATATATATATATATATATTTTTATCTTTTGACTCGCTAGTATTTTTAGTAAACAGGTATTTTTTTTTTTTTCGGAAAAAATTTCCGACTTGGCAATATTTCTGACTCTCGAATATTCTTTTCAACCACGTTGTTATTACTTGAATATTCCTACTTGAATTAAAAAAATACTGGTTTATTTCTGTCGGAACTCGGAACTCGGACCAAATTCGGTCCGAAACACCCGAATGATATTATAATATTATTCACTTTACGAGATATTAAAAATTCGGTCCTTTTTCTTTAGTTTTGTATTTGTAGCATATTATCATTTTTGTTAAATCAACTCAACCGCAGCTATGTACAGAGTCAGAATTCTTTTTTGACAAACATGTACAGCGCAGCAATTTTTTTTTTTTATTTTGTTTTCTTTAAATCTTATCTTTTAATCTATTATCATTTATCAACAAAGAAAGTATGTTCATAATTATATTAATAATTTTTGTCGTTTTAAATTTGTTTCATTTTTTTTAAAACAGAAATCCTATATTTAAAAGCCATCACATGATTGTTGCTTGTGACTCGCACAAAATCACAAAATCCGAGCCACTAATGGACATACCATATGTGAAAATTTTCTTTGTTATATTTCTATTAGAGTGCATATTTAAAATATTTTAAATGAATCTTTTAACATAGCTCATGGAACCAAACATAAAATATGATGAAAATCAACCTGTTTATGATATCATAGATTACGAGAGGTTCACATTTCAATCGGGATATGTAAAATGTAAACAATTAGTTATAATTGTGAATGCTATATGTGCAGTATTAACACGTGCGGGTAATCCTGCATCGTTTTTTGTTTTATTTCATATTCGTACTTCATAATGACGAAATTTTTCCCGCGGAGATTGTTGTTGTTAAAGAAGAATGTACATAAAAGGCACCTGTTGAAAATCTTTTTTTTTTTTTTTTTTTTCCTTCAAATAATTGAGACAAAACAATGTAAATGAATTGGGAACTAATTAAGACGATCAAAAAGAAACGGGCACAATATGTTTTCGGAAAATCATTTATGGAAAGGTAATTTTGGATTGTTGTGCTACAGTATTCTGCAGATCCTTGTGGCGGTTTGGTTTCAAAAGTCTTTGTTTTATAGGAAATAACCGCCAAACATATTGTGAAAATCTTTTCTTTCAAAGTTTCAAATTTATTTGCAGATAATAATGACTGAGAACGACTCATTATCAATCATATCATACCCGATGAATATTTTGATGGCTTTAATAAACCTGAGTGTGTGGAGTATTATCTTTCGAACGCCGCATTGTTTTGTTTTCTCCAATATATGGGAAATAGTAATAGCCACGAAAATCTTTTTTAACGAATTAATGAATACATTGTGTATGTCGAAGCAAACGCCAAAAAAGTCATCGTCATAAGCATATAAATATTCCGATTGAGTATTACCTCAATTTTGTGCATGATTATTTATTTGGAGGCGGGATTAAAAAAATCACACGATAATCTATATATATAATAGATGTTTGGGTTTTTTTTTGGTTTTTTCTTAAGAAAGAATCACCTGAGAAAATGAAGATAAAGAAATAGCTGTTTTAATAAAAACAAATAAAGGTATTTTGTTTTTTTTTTTTTTTATAAAATCCGTCACCTGAGAAAATAAGAATTTATTAGCCAAAATTTTTACTAAAAATAAAAACAATAGAAAAAGAATCGCCGTTGAAAAAAAGGCAATAAACTACCAATATTAAGTTAATAATTACAAAAAAAAAAAAATAAACATTTTTTAATATTTATTATTTACAATATTTACGAGCCATAATTGTTTAAAATTTTTTTTTTCCTCATTTGATTATCTAAATCAAAAGAAAAAATATTCACACCACAAATATTTTTGATAATTTATTTTTTTTTTTTTCAAAAAATTAATAAATAATAATAATAATAATTAGTATCAGCCGAAATACTTATTAAAGTTAGTCCAATAAAAAATTTAGTTGTTTAATAATTATTAATGAATCTCATTATTAAAACCAATATGGGATTTTCATCAATGAAATTGATGAAACTTGTTTACGGATTTCATAAACCGTTTGTAAACAGAAATTTCATAAATTTTAAAATTGATATATAATAAAATTTCATGCAATTAATCATTAAATATATATTGGCTAATTACTAATATTTTTTTAAATCCTATGAAAGTTTCTTGATAAACTTATGATATTTCATTATAAATTCAAATTCGGCTTTCTAAATATCCAAATAAATTTATTTTGTGTGACTTAAAGGCCAAGTATTATTTCTGCAGTGAATTCCGCAGAATTATATTTTACTTTGTGTATCATATAATTTTTGATTGAAAATTAAAATATTGTCCCTTATCAAATCGAACATATATATGGGTTCTTCAAAGAAAAATTTCTTTGCGGATCATTCAAAGTTACATTTTTCCACAATTTCTCCTATGAAACTCTTTAACTGTTAAAAATGTTTCAAATGTCATTAAAGAATTCATTTATGGAAGTTTAATGAAATACTTTCTACTTGCACACATAGTATTTCAAAATTATTCCAAATAAAGATTGTTTATAATGCCAAAGTTGGTAAACTAATAAAACCGAGAATACATATTTGTCACATGATCCATTGAGTTTTAGGAATTTGGCTAGGTCAAAACGTACGTCTTTTTTTTTTTTACAAAACTGCAAAAGCTTAAAACTTAAAATGACGTCCCAATTTAAGAACGATCTGTATACTTCTAGAATCTCTCTCTTTTCTTCTTTGCTGGATGATTGTTCAATTTCTGCGGATAGTAATATTGACATAATATGTCGGATTGATTCAATCTCGTAATTTCTATGTGTAACCAATCAATAATATAATTCAATATTTAATAATTTCAAGGATTTTTATTCTTCACAACCTTTGAATTTATTTATCGTTAGATTGTTAATGCGTTAATGCTGCGGCGACAAGGAAAAATTCATAATTTAATCACGTGATTTTGGTTTAATGTTGGCCAGAATTTTGATTCTTAGTATTAGCCTATTAGAGTTGGAATATATGTCACGTGCCCGAATAGCATATTAAATATTGATTATTGAAGACCAATTAGACCTTGTTCACGTGGATTTTTTTTTTTAAAAAAAAAAAAGACCGATCAGACTAATTTCAGCCAAATTAGCCAAATTTCTTGCATTACAATAAAATTTTTAATCCGTTTGATTTTTTTTTTTTCGAAAAAAAAATAATTATTATTATTTGGATGTCTCTTCATTTTGATTCTTCTAAATCTTCAAAATTAATTGTAATATATACTAACCAAACAACTTTTTTTTTCAAAAAAAAAATATATATATATGTATAAACCAAATTTTTTTAATGACATTTAGTAATAGTACTAAGAGAGTGACAATTGGAATTGATTGTAAGCCCAATAGTTCAATAAAATGTGGATTTGGATCATTATACAAAGTCCAATAGTTCAAATGTCCAATAGTCCAATAGTCCAAAAAGCCATCACCAATATTAATGTACACAGTGAAATTCGATATAATGGAACCATCCGTTCCATTAGTAAAATTTGTCAAAAAATCCGTTATATCAAGAATTCCGATATATCGAGGGTAAATTAATTATACGTTATGATCCGTTCCAGACCTCAATTCCGATATATCAAAATTTTACTTATGATTAGGGATGGAACGTGATTTAAAACAAGATGTTTTAAAACAATTTAAATCAGTTTTTTATTGTTTTAAAACGTTTTTTTTTTGTTTTAAAACATTGATCGGCATGATTATTGCGGAATTATTTTTTAATGACCTTTTTTGTATTTTTAAGCAACCTTTTTTTAGAATTATTCTCGTGGAAGACCATCATCGGAAGACGTCCGTAAGCACTTTGAAAAGTTACGAAAAACACCTCGTCAAAAGTGTGTAATTATTGTGGAAATGACATTAGTTATTGATTTAATTGATCGATTAGAAGATTATATTATATAATTTTTTTTTTTTAAGAGTTAGCGCACATTTAATTTAACGAATCACTAGTATCACTACCTTTTTGAGGAAATTAAGGGCGTAGCCTTTGGTCCGACCGGCCAATTCTAATTTTAACTTCCCACGAAAAAATTAATTCAAAAATAACTTCCAGCTATATTCCCAACAAGGTCGGTCCGGCTATACTCTAAATATATATTATATAATAAAGTGCTTAAATTTTTATTGCAAATATGTATTATATCGTAAAACTAGTAAGTGCTTAATGTTTTAAAACACGTTTAAAACATGTTTTAAAACGCCAAAATTGTTTTAAAATATACATGTCGAAACTTTTTTTCAATTTCGGCCGCATTTCGGCTCCAAAATATAGCTACTTGTAGATATACTAATAAATTTTTTGATAATTTGGGTCAGATCTGCAGCAACTTTTAGACTTCAGAAAATTTCGGCATAATCTGCAATAATTTCGAA